AGTGGGCTGGGGAGGGAATGGGGATTTTGCAGCATCCTTCCCCTGCCACGCCCACCAAGCCACACCCACAAGCCATGCCATGCCCACAAGCCATGCCCGCAGAACCAGTAGTAAAATAATTTGAATCCCACCACTGTCCTCAACCTACAACCACAACAATTGAGCCCAACATTTCTGTTGCTAAGTGAGAGAGTTGTTACGTGAATTTTGCCCCATTTTTGCGACCTTTCTTGTCACAGTTAAGTGATTCACGCAGTTGTTAGTAACCCAGTTGTTAAGTGAACCTGGCTTTCCCATTGACTTTGCTTGTCAGAAGGTTGTAACAGCTGATCAGGTGGCCTCGGGACACTGCCACCATCATAAGTGTAAGTCAGTTGCCAAGCATCTGAATTTTGATCGCCTGACTATGAAGATGCTGCAATAGTCATAAGTACGAAAAATGGTCATGTCCCATTTTTTCAGTGATGTTCGAATGGTCACAAAGTGAACTGTTGTAAGTTGAGGACTACCTGTAATCAGTTATTTGTATTTCTTTTTCATGATTTATATTATTTAAAAAAACCCTATAACATAATATGCAGAAGCACAATTGGTTTAGCTTTGACATCCCACCATTTTACCTCTTATATAGCCTCTTAAAATACCACAAGTTTAAAATAATTATACACAGTGAAGTACAATTCTCATGTGGATGCTTACAGACCAGTTAAACACAGCATGTTATCCTATTAAACAGTCAAGTAATTAGCAATTTAAACAGCCTGAATAAATTATCACAAATAAAATTATATGGGTTATTTGGACAGATGAAATCATGCACGACCCCTAGAAAATGAAAAGAAACCTACAACATAAATAAAGAAAAGAGGTGCAAGATACACTAAGCATCAAACATATTAACTAGAGGAAACTGGATGCTTTCCCTCAACAGCCATTTATTTTTAAACCCCTTTCTGCCATGTTGGCTCAGATCATTAAAGCCAGAGAACAGATATTTAGAAAGGAGGGGAAAAAAACTCAGAGTATTGTCTAGTGGGCTTGGAGCAGAGTACATTCCTTACACAATAATTTTCACAATTGGAAAGCATGAAAATGTTTCTCTGGGTGGACTGTTTTTTTTTGCAGAGTTTTCACATTAGCCAACTCATAACCTACTTTTTCTAAGATAACCTTACTCATTTGATACATTCCTTAGGTTATAGACTAGAATGCCAATGATTCTTTCTTACTTCTGTGGGAAATCAGACTTGGAAGACTCTTGTAAGATGCTGTCACCTATTATACACTAGAGTATGTGTTGTTTTTGGATTTTAGTCAGTTTCTTTCCTTTAAAAGGACCTGCCTGAGAGAAAGTATGCAGAGGAATGAGCTGATTCTTGCCTCAGGACTCCTTTTTTGTCCCAGCCAAACAGAACTGTGATATTCCTCCCAGTCCCACCAACCCTCTGACTTAAGGAATCAGAATTAGCTCTCCATACAGCATTTGGGATAGGGCTAGAGTTTCCAACCTTGGCAACTTTAAGACTTGTGGATTTCAACTCCCAGAATTCCTCAACCAGCAAAACGAAGCTGGCTGAAGAATTCTGGGTATTGAAGTCCACAAGTCTTAAAGTTGCCAAGGTTGGAGGTCTCTGGGCTAGAGTTAACTGACCAGGAGGTGGAGATGTTAAAAATCAAGATGGCAACCAAAATATTTTTTCCAACAATGTAATAAAAAGCCCGTCTTTTTTTTTAAATGTCCCTGCACATAGCAAGGCATAAATCACATGGTTGTGGGTGCCATTTTGAATTTTTTTTACCCCCCTCCCTTCAGACATCCTCTGAGAATGGAACCAAATATGTCGCTCTAATAGATAAGAAGTGAAGGAAACAAATACTGTAAACTAGATAAGTATTATAAGAAAGCAACAGAAATGTGACTAAACCATTCTTCATTCCTGAAAATCTTACTGAAGGATTATTGGGTGATCAGTAATTTGCAAATGGCAGATTACATTAATTTTTTTATATTCTAGGAGTAGGTTGGGGTAGATCATTATGGAGAAATGTATGTGGTCTCTAGGAGTTGAAAGCAACTTGATGGCTTATAATAATAAATGGTATAATTTTATTTATTTGTTAAATGTATATGCCACGCATTTCTTAGCAACTCTTTATTCCACCTTTTGACACAGAACAGCTTCCAACACTTTTCATATTCAAAATTTACTTATTTAATTAAAATATTTGCCTTCTGAATTTTGACCATTTAAGGATTCTCTAGGCAGATAATCAAAAAGGTTCCAAAGCAACCAGACTATTAATTAAAATTTTATCACAACTTTAAAAAAAGACTTTCCATAAGAAGGAATCCAAAGGAAGGAAGAAAAAGAAGGCATCAAAATGAATGGCTATATATGTATTTAAAACAGCTCACAGGATATAACATGCCAATATAAAAATAAAGAGCTTAGCATCACCAAGTCACACAGTCTGAGAGTTGCAGCTAAGAAGACCTTGTCCTGCTCCTTCAAGTGGTGGCAGGAGATGGAATTAATGCTTCCAGTGACAACTGAAGCAAGAAGATATATATTCATATGGATAAAGACGATTGCATGTTCTAGCATTATGCAGTTTTGAATGTGGCTATTTAATGGTTGATAACTCACTGGGAAATCAAATCACCGTAGCAACCTGAGGTTCCTAGGACGAACACTGTTTGAGGGGGGTAAATGAAAAAGCAGATATGTTGACAAAATCATTGTTTACAGCAGCAACCAAAGGCTGTGTGCTTCAAAATAATTTCGTTTCACTTTTGCATGTTGACTAGGCTATTAAATGCTTTAAGAATGCCCAAGTGTGCAATAGTAAAATGAAGCTATTAGAGGGAAAGGGTCATTTTAGGGCACAACTCATTCTAAAACTCAAGCATTTGAAACAAGAAGAAACGTGTTAACAAGAAAACACAAGCAGAGGAAGGCACTTAGTTACATAGCCTGGCTCTTTCCAAATATAGAATTATTCCTATTCAATATTTTAGGTTTCTTAAGAGTGTGTACAGATTGAAAAGAGATAAGACAATTCTAACTGTAAGGTGCTATTCCATTCTTTTCTTTCGTTTATTGCTAGTCAACAGTTCAGAAGGTTCATTAAGTTGGAACTAATGGTTAGTTGCCAGTTTCCAGGGGAAACATGCAATGATATTGGCCCCGTGGAGAATAAATATACAACCATATTTATTCAAACAACCAGAAGACATTAAATATTTGGTTTGAGTATCTCAGGAACTAGCTCAATAAAGTAATGTCTTGGGCCTGTGAGTTGATCAAGATGTTGGCAGTGTCGAAATGTAATTTTGACTATGCTTTCTATGAGCAGAATGTTTGTCTGGATTTCCTGAGCCAATGCATCTTCAGATGTGACAAAGGAAAGGGTTTTTTTCCAGCAGAAGTTAGATTAGTCCCAAGAAATAATAAGTTATAGAAGAAAGATGACACAATTTTGTATTATACTAGACCAAGTGGAGAAGGGCAAATCTTATCCATACTTTATTTAAGCCATCTGTTGTGAAAATAGGTTTAAAAAGGAGATAAAGAGCTGACATTTTTGCTGCAAGAAATTTTATGGTACTGTGGTTCCCCTTGAAACATACGAAGAACAAGAATTGCATGGGGTATTGATTATTAGAACCTATGAATCCTCAATTTATTCCTGCATACATATCCAAGTAAACAATCTGCCATAAAAATGCTATCAGTTTCCAGGGTTCTCCTTCCAAATTAGGATGGTAATATATGCATCTTTAAACACAGAAGACCTGCAGTTCCTGAATTCAATTCTGGCTAATACTGAGTCCATCTGAGTTGACCAACATTATTTTTCAAGAATCATAAGTAAGCACTGGCCAATCTGGCATTTGCCACTAAGCAGAAGCAAATTGCTCTTACATAAAAGTAAAGGGACAGGGTACTGACTTAAAGTCAAAGCAAATGGCAAAGCTCAACTAAATTGATCTAAATGTAAGCATAATTGATTCTGATTAGAAAACGAATATAAAGTTTAAGGCTGCAGACTTTACTAGGAAATAATAATCTAAAAGAGTCCTAGAAGGGACCGTTTTTGGCCTCCCTGGCCTCCAGAGAAAGAGAAAGGGAGAAAGGGAAGGAGAGAGAGAGAGAGAGAAACACACAGAGAGAGGGAGAGAGGTCCCTCACACACACACACACACACCATCAAGGCAGCTATATCCCTTCACTATCCTGCTTTCCACCCCCAGGAGCATACCAAATTAAAGTTTAATTTGCGCATATTGTTTAATGGACTGCTAAATAGGCCATGCCCTCCCAGTCACATGAACATCTAGCCACACCTACCCAGTCACATGACCACCTAGCCATGCCCACCCAGCCGGTCCAGCCCCCCCAAAAGTCTGAGTGACCATGAATTGGCCCCCTGTTTAAATAGTTTGGGGACCCCTGCTTTAACATATGATAGCCAAGTATCTTTCTAATAAGAGATAGTATCTCTTTCTAATAAGCAAGGTCATCAAGAGAAGTGATTGATTTTGGACTCAGATGTCCATAAGGCATGGTCAAAAAGTCCAAATGGCAGACATGATGGTGTGATCAAAACCCTGTCTGTTTTTTATGTGCACTTCAAGAAGAGATTTCATTGCGTTTTCTTGAATCACAGTTTGACGGCCATCTTGATGCTTTTGACCAAGCCCTACAGACTTAATTGTTTGAGTTTGCTTTTCTTTATTATTCTGAAAGGCAATAATACTCATACTGGTACAACATAAACAGACATGGCACAAAATTAATCTCTCACTTACCTGCAGTACAATTTTAAGTATGTAATATATTTAAGTATTACTCTAGTTGAATATATTGTCCCCATTTATTTGTACCTATTTCCTGTATTCTTACTCATGTTTATACTTATACCTATTATCTTGTAAGTGATTGACAAATAAAATTAATAAATTAATAAATTAATATCATAATAATGAGTATACTTACTATGTCTGTCAAAGAGTGGGATGCCTGGACAAAAACTGATACAATCTGGAAGAAATAAAGACATGTAAAGACCAAATTCCTGAAAGACCAGCTGGGGCAAATTTGGTTTTGATTCACAAATTAAGCACCTTACTACTCCCAAAAAGAACAGCATCCTTAGCACATGGAACTCGGTTTTGATCCCAGTTAGCAGCATTTTCAAAATTAGTATTTGGAATCCACTTTTTGTACACAGCAACTGAAGAGCCTGAGAAAAACCAAAAGGGGGAAATAAAAGCTTTGATTGGGGAGTTATGACCACAACAAAATGGGATGTCTGATTTTTCTTAGTCCAATCACTGCATGATTAAAGCAACATTACAAAATTGAAGCTTGGCCTTTTCCTTTATACATGCATACACACACACACACAAATATTTTTACATTACAAAATTGAAGCTTGGCCTTTTCCTTTATACATGCATACACACACATACACAAATATTTTTAGTAAATGGTAAAAATGTGTGTCTGTGTGTGTATTTACTAAGCCACTAAAATAATGAAGTAGCTATATATTTCAGATATCACTGCAGGTATTAAAATGCCACTTGGTACACCCTGGCCAGACTGATTGATGTCCTTGATGACAGTACAAAGACTTAACAACCCTATGTATTGTGCTTTATCATATTTTCAACAGCACTTTTGCTTTATGGCAGAATGCTTATTGCTGGTATTTCTATGCTCAAATGGATTTATAAGTACTTCTGCTCTGGATACTTTGGCATGCGTGCCAATAGCCAATGTTGCAGGTTCATTTTAAGGACAGAATAACTGGGATAGGAACACATTTGTTATTTAACCAAACTGGTCTCCTCCTCCTCCTATTATTATTGTTTATTTCCTACTTAAATATTCTTCCACTATGAACAATATTTAGTCACCTACTTTAGACAATGATTTCTAGAGAATTTCCAGAAAGGCTTTAAATATGGCAAAATCCAGCACGCACTATAGTAAGCAGTTCCTCACACAATTCATGCTTCTCCTGCAACACTCAAAGAAAATAATCATACATACATATTGGACAGCCTGATTTTCTGTCACATCTAAGTAATTGAGTTCTAAGCGAACATAGCAAATGTATTGTGAATTAATTCCTGCCCTGGAAGACCCTTGCAGTGTTTTGTACTCGTTATGATGAAGAGCTGTCAATTGCTATTATTTTTAAAATACTTTCTCATATATCTAGTCTTCTCAGAGAATGAAGTTTGTTCTGGAAGATGTAATTGCCATAGATGAGATCAGGTAAGGACTCCTAGATCAAGGAGATCAAGGTCTGACGCCTAGTTATTAGGATTCTACCATAACAGGCCTTTTAAGGGCCCTTCCACAGAAGGATTCTGAACCAGTCTGAAAGAAGGTCCAGGCACCTGGGTTCCCAAAATATCAGCAATGTTGAGAGGACACTGGCTTGGAGTAAATGAAATGGCTATGATATTACTTTCCCCTTCTTTGCTGAGGTTTCCTCCTCCCATTGGAGGAAATTATTACCATGTTATGACTGAGTGGAAGCTGAGGGCATAACCAGTCCAGTATCTGATTTCTTTAATGTAAACAATGCTGCACTTCAATGGCCTAGACATTGATATTTGAACATAGATCTTTTTAATATTTACATTTTATTGGGTTCTACTAATCTAATTGAAATGTTAATTTATATTGCTAGTCCATGTATGATATGCCATAAATTAAATAAATGAATTATCACATCTCCTACTAAATCCTGAACTTGTGATCCTATAAGGAAAATGTTAGCTTGTCAGTGCTGTAGGCAAACAAGCAAAAACATGTAAGGTGAAATTACTAATTTTTTATTATTATTATTTTGTTAATTTCCCCCTTTTCCTTGACATGGAAGAACTCCTTCCTTCCTTCCTTTGATGTGAAGTAGTGATCAATGGATTTTGTTTCTAAAGAAATTGGACTGACTTGGAAACACTGCCCCTTGTTTTTAGCATTTTAGATCATCAGAAGTGGGGATCCAGTGGGAATCATATACAGCTTTCTATTGCATTTAAGACTTAAGAAATGAAATGATGGTGGCATGAAAATGCCCTTGGCCAATGTTGTGCCCATTCTTAGACAGTGAGTGAAGCATCACATGATGACCATTTGCCATCCTTCTTTCGTTCTTCTGCTCATTCATACATCCTGCGCAGTACCTTCTGTACTGTACTGTCTGAATGCACATGCAAAAAGATTTTAAAATCAAAGATTTTGCCTATTCAAGGACTATAACTGTATGAGCAACCTGCATGTATAGTTTATACTCATTTAATCTTTGTCAGATTCTCGAATACACACACATTCTCTCTCTCTCTCTCTCTCTCTCTCTCTCTCTCTCTCTCTCTCTCTCTCACACACACACACACACACACACAACTTTTATAGAGCAAAGTAGAACAAATTAAGAAGCATGAGCTTTTCTTCCGCAGCAATTCAATCAAGCTAATGTCTGAAAAATTCTCATATGTCCAATTGATTCTTGTTAGAAAATGCAAGTTAGATTATTTGGAACAGTGTCTTTTTCTATTACCAATATGTGATGAAGGGGCTTCAACACAATTAGAAATTGTATATTCCATTAAATTAGGAACCAAAATTATTGCTAAGCCAAGTATTACATTATTGCAGTCTTTCCCTTAAAAAAAAAATCACATAGCTGAATTCATTCTGTGGGCCCTCGTAGCATTCATCAGTCAAGCAGAAAGGAAGAAAATATCCTCTTTGGGCAACAATAAATGTGAGATTATTTAAGGATTTTCACATACACACTCACAAACAAGTTGATTTGTTGATAGAACCAAGAAATCATATATAATGTTATTGAGAAGACATGGTCTGTGAAGTTCCTAACTGCCTGACTATAACAAACAGTTGTAAATTTTTATTGCATTCACCCATTCTCGCAGCAAATATTCCTAGATATAGAATCTTTCATTATTTGTTATCATTCATCTATGTATCACTTGAACAGAAATAACTAAATCATATAGAAGTAGATTTCTTGTTTAATTCTCTGCACTTTATCTGTAAATATATCTGCTCCAGAAATAACAATCTCTGGCCAGAAAGTGGCTACCTTTAACATCTACTTTGGAGATGTCAATTCAGTAGAGTAATCATCTTGAATGAACTATCTTTCTCCTATATCACCCTTTGTTCTAGGAAAGGGAAGTTACAAAATCTATTGACAATTTTCTCTCTTTAAAATATATTTTTCTCCCTTTTGCAAATACAGTTATTCTGAGAAATGTCTGACTTGTCTTGCTGACCAGGTTACGCAGAAGAGGTAGACTTATTGTTAGGAATTAAAAGCCCAGATGAATTTGAGGTACAAAGTTTACTAGGAAAGGAAAGGAAAGGAAAGGAAAGGAAAGGAAAGGAAAAGAAAGGAAAGGAATCAGTATATCAGCTGCTTAGAAGGTACAATTCTTTGGGGTAATAAAAATATTGCTTCACCTGGAAATTGTGAAGGGGAAGATGACAGGGCAGGATTATTAATAAGGATTCTCCTTATTATTATAAGGAGAAATTTTCTGACAGCGAGAACAATCAACCAATGGAACAGCTTGCCCTCAGAAGTTATGGGAGCGCCATCACTTGAGACCTTCAAGAAGAGATTGGACTGCCATTTGTCAGAAATGGTGTAGGGTCTCCCACTTGGATGGGGGGGTTGGACTAGATGACCTACAAGGTCCCTTCCAACTCTGATTATCTGTTATTGAAACCTGTGACTGATGCAGAGATGGTCAGAGGATAATTGTGTACTTTGGATGAGTTTAAATCTCCTGGATAAATTAATTGTACTGTAGTATATCTGCCCACAACCTTTTGGACACAAGGGACTGGTTCCATGGAGAGAGGTTTTTCCATGGACCGGATGGGTGTGGTTTCATGTGCTGCCTGCATCCCTCAGATAGGGCTTTGTTTGTTTGCGCATACCATTTTCTGGCATGCCACAATTGGTGCCAGTCACGGACCAGAGGTTGGGGCCTCCTGCTGAAGTATATTGAAAAAGTTGGGTGATAATCAGACCAAGTTCTTATATATTACCTTTGATAAATGCTGGTGAAGTGCCAGATGACTAGAAGAGAGCTTAAAAGGGGGGTCGGCATCATCAAATTGCAGACTTGTTAGACACCTGGCTTGGTTATAGTGTTTATGAAAAAGATCTTGGAATTGGAACTGCAAACTGAATATAAGTCAACGAAGTGAAGTTACTGAAAAGAAAACTCTTGCAATTTTAGGCTGGGTTAACATAAGTATAATTTACAAATCACATTTCCTGTGATTTGTGATCTATTCTATTGACTCCTCACCATCAGCACTTTTTATAATACCAAGAATCATAGTTTTAATAAAGATTCAAAGAAACCGAAACAAACAACGAAGATGATCAAGGAACTGGAATCTAATCCCTTCAAAGAGACACTGAAGAAAGAGAGTACGTGTAACCTTGAAAAAAAGGTGAGCTATGATGCAGTTCTAATTCTGAAACACTATCACAGAGAATAAAATCAATTTTTTCAGTTTTAAGGAAGGCTAAAATTTATCCCATATAGTAAGAAAACGCCACCAAGGTAAGGGAGAATTAAAAGAGAATATAATATAATGTCAATGGAACCTTCTCTCTAAAGTAATACCATAGCAGAGAGGATGTTTCTATGTGGATCATTTCTTGAATAGAAGGGATGAGAAAAACTAGAGGAAGGGGTTAGAAAAGCTCTCCCTGAGATGCTATAGTTCCAATTCTAATTTTTCCTTATCAACTCATGTGATACAGTTAGAAGGAAAAAGTAGTAGATACATTTTTAATATCATAAGCAGTTTGAACTATTCTTAACAACTTAAAAAATAAATCTGTTCACTTCCTGGCAGACCTAATCATGGATACTTAACAGGAGTTTGACAGTGGAGTTTAAGGAGCAAAGATGTAATAAGTCATCCCTATTAGATGACAGTGTGGACAGAGAGAAAGAGAAGAAATAAAAAATATTTTTTATTGATGGTGCCTAGAAACAGAAGTGAAAATAAAAAAACCCATGACTGCAGATAGTAATTATATGTGTGAACTGGAACTGTATTTGATCATCCACCTCACCAAAAAGGCAAATGCAATTTTCGGTTGTATTAAAAGAACTGTTAACATCCAAATCACAGGAAATAATACATCCACCACATTAGTCAGTCCCATCTTGA